CATCTTTGTAATGTCATCAAGTCGCCTGTTATAATCTGAAGAATTTTTTTTTTTGTTTTTTATTCAGTTTTTACAGTTTTTTCTGATTTTCTCGACAACCCCTTAAGATAATTACTTCATCGACCACTAGTATGAAAGCTGAATATCTCACCTTTCTAACGCGCCTACATTCATAGTGCTGTTATCAAGTCGCTTGCTATGAGCTGTATAAATTGAACGTTTTATACTTAACAGAGAAACGACGGTTTTCTCGTTTTTTTCAGTGTTTATGAACTAAATAAAATCATGTTTTATACATAAAAAACAGACAAATTATCAAATATAATAGTACAAAATAAATATTGACGTATGATGTTTAATACTAAACATTACATGTGCGTTTTTAATGAGTACATGATGTCACTGGATTGCGATACATGCATGTAGCGCTGTGTATTGTTTGGTAGCGATTCGTGTAAAGTGCTTCATGTACTCATCGTCTATTGTTCGAAGTATATTTCAGAAGCGCAATTGTATCCATGTGACATGTAGTTGAACGTGTATTATATCCACCATGCATAGATTTAAAAGTAAAATCTGCACAGGAAATGATTTCTTACCTTATGAACATTTTTTAAAATAGATTTTCAAATAACAATTATATTAGTTTCAGGTAAGATATATAAAATATTTTGAATGAATAATATTATTAAACCTGAAAAAAAATTCAGCGTTTTCTCTAAATCAATTAATTTAAGTAAACAAATCAATGACAATTTTCATATCTAAATTTGATATATTCAAAACAAATTTAATTTATCAAAATAAATTTTACGAATTAGTTATTAAATCTAATAATTATATGTGAATACATGTACATAGAGCTAATTAATTTATATTATATAATGTTTAGCCTCGATAAGTTATTTGATTAAATTCGTTGTCGTTTGAAACCTGTCGCCGCGAATATTCAAAGCGGCAAATGTATAAGATGGTATTACATAATAGTGCTCGAAGTGGAGGGATTTCCTGGAAGGGAATTAGCGATTTTCGTTTGGGAGGGTTAGCCAAGTGCAAGCTGGGAATTTGATAGGATTATCGGCGTATCGTGGGATACAGCGATTTAGATTATGCCTTAACGAAAGTGTTATGCAAATACCTCAAAGATACTAGAGGAATAAACTTTGAGCAATTATTTTCATATTGATTTTATATTTATTAATTTAATTTTATAAAATACAATTTACTAAAAAAAAAATAAAAAATCTCTAATACAATAACGAAAAATTAAAATTACAAGAACAATTTGACTACTATATAAAATAATGTTGGAGAATGGATTTAAAGTTTTCTGGGAATAAAAATTGTTTCTCTTAAGTGTCTCTAAATATGTAGCGCTCGTTGAATGTTTTTATCCTAATTAGTCGAGCGCTCGTTTTTCGCAGTAAGTTTTAATTAGTCGCATATTTTTCTGTAGAAAAGCTGCGAGAGTGATAATTAAAAAAAAAAGTTTTATAGTTGTTCCAGATAGCTAAATGTTAAAACTTCAATTGCTTTCTTTTGAAATGTTCAGTGCTAAAATGATAAACAGATTGAAATAATGAACAGGACTTTAAATTGTTGAGTTTTTATTTATGATTTTCATTTTACAATTTTAACGTTTATCATAATGAAAAGGGGTTTAAATAGAAAAAATATTTGTATTGTTCAGATCAAAATAACTGTATAAGTAGATTTGTTGATAAATACAATAAAACCTAAAGAAACAGCGTTAAATGAGTAATTCACGAACAATTTATTATGTAATTTGGTTTTCAATTCTTTAATGAAAACTTTTTAAACAGTTCGGAATTTGGCTTAAACATTCTCAGTATGAATTATATTTGATCTAATACAGTTATTTTTTTTTCGAAATGTAATCTAATCTTATATAATATGAGTGTTTTAAGTGCTATTAAATATAGTATTATTAATTACCGAATTAATTTTCTCGTGATGCTGAGAGCCGAATGCTAATCAACTATTTCTTGAACAAGATGTAATGAGCTTCGAACTTTGAATGAAGTACTTGAGAATGTGATAAATTTTGTCATGCAATATTGTATTTTGGTGTATTGCTCTATGTTGGCCGAATATAAAAGTATAGTATTAAGTTACATTTAATTGAGTTTTTATCAGTATCGATTTTCTCTTGTGACGGACCCTATCCGACACCAGCTCCGTGTAATTTCCGGTACTGAAAATATGGCTTCGCAACATCACTAGTTTTTATATATTATTTAGGACGTGATTCAAAGTAGCTTAAAGATCACATTTCCTGTACCGTACTTACATATATAATATAACAAATCTTTTCGAAAGATTGTTCAAAAATCGAGTTAATTTTTGTTTTGAATGTTTGTTAGTAATAAGAACTACCTAGTTTTTTAAACACTATTTTATATCGTGAAATAATCCCAAATAAAAAAAAATCAGGGCCCTCAAATTGTAAAATTAACTTCCTAAATATGCACTACCATATGGAGTTGTCTTTCTGTAAAGAAATTACTTTTTGTTTAAATAATTGTAACCATTCTATATGCAAGTTGTGTGTTATATTTTTCTGGAACACTGAACATTAATAAGAGTACTAATATATATTGTGTATCTTTTCATTGTGTTCTAATCGATATTTCTCATATGTAAGCATCAAATTGAACGAAACCAACAGTTTATAGTATATTTGTATATAATACATTAAAAGCTAGTCAATGTATACATTTACCTAATATTTTAGATAATTAGTGGATCAAATTAATTAATAATATGAAATGTACATTTACTTGTAAAATGATGACTTCTTTAGTAACTTTAAGTACAATTAATTAAACTATTTCTAGCAAATAAACTTATTGTAATTTCTGCGAATATTTCTGCGAATATTCCATTAATTTTAAGATCCTGGGCCCTCAGCTTAAAAATATCATTAAATATGTCTGTAACATCATAAATTTGTATGTTTTGATATTGATTAATGAATACATTTTCTTGTTTCATTTTTCCATTGTAATTTAAGATATTAATTAATAAGTAAGAAAATGAAAAATTAAGCAGTTAAAATATATTTATTAATTTCTTTGTAATCTATCTCTCGCGCAAAAAGCTTCCTAATATTAGATCTTATATGACAACTAGATAAAATTACGACGTGTGTAGAACAGAGGCATCAGGTGGTTGAGTCGGAGCAAATGTCTGTAAAGATTTGGAGGAGTTATTAATGATATTTATCATTACTACCACGACACGACGATCATTGAAAAGCGCACAAATCTATGAGACAAGTACAGTTTTCCGCAATTTATGTACATGTACATATAAATAATGTTTCAAGAATTTATCTAACACAAAATAGAATATGATTATTTCTGTAATTTTATATATTTTGTAATACCGGATTCGATTAGTCCGGATTTTGTATAGTTTGGACAACAACAAACTTAATTTTAATTGACAAAATAAATTTTAAAAACTGTTGTTTATTGGAGGGTTTAATCTGAGAAAAATATAAATAAACCCAAACTTGGGCTAAAGTTTTAATTAAAGGCCTCGATTAATGTTAATTGAAGGCCTTCAGGTAGTGTTAGTTGAAGGACTCAAACAGTGTTAGCCGAGGGCCAACAAACAGTATTGTCGAGGGCTCCCAATCAGTATTAGCCGAGGGTCCCCAAGCAGTATTAGTTTATGGATCCCAAGCAGTGTTAGCCAAGTTCAGCGAAAGAATATTAGCTGAGGGCCCTCAGACTTTATAAGCCCAAAGTCCCAAAATGAATGTACATATAATTGAAATTTTAATAAGTTTATATAGAATTCGTGTTTAATGAGTTAATTAATTGATAATAATTAATTACTTTTTTGTGGAACATGTTGTAATTGTGCGTTTACTTTAGAATTTAGAGGAACTCTAAATTACCGAATGGAATTAAATGTCTCTTTGTGCTATGGAGCATAGATAACAAATGTGTTAATGGAAAATAGCAAGTTGACTGTGCTTCAAATTAAGAGAGTCAAGGTTGTTTGCTCGCTTCTCTTGCATTCATGTTATATATATTTATTTGAGCTGCCGCCACAATCAATACATGAAAGCACCCTTTGGATTTTTCCACCTTCTTCTTTCATTAGTATATCATGTATTTTTTTTTACTTTTACGTTGCCTTTCCAATTTGTTTTTTTGTTGGCAGATTTTTAATTAAATTATTCATTAAAATAATTTATAAACCGCAAAATATTTTCATAAATGTTCAAAATTAAAATCCGTTTCATTTAATTGCGTTTTACTGAATGTAAACTTATTTATTATAATTAATTAATAATAATAATTTATTGACCAGAAAATACGAAAAATAATCAAGTTTTTAGAGTTAATTTATATTTTTCTTAAATTTTTTTCAGTTGTTTGTACGTTACAATGCTGTAAATAATATTGTACGTATCATCGAACAATGTACGTTATGTGATCGACTTGGTATTTGACAATTCTTTAGAATTACTTAATATATTACAAGTTAACTTTTTGTTAATATTTTATTTTAATAGAAGTTTTTTAAATTACAAAATATATTTTAACAGTTCACTTAATTAATAAATTTGTGAAAAAAAATGGAACTTAGTATAGCTTGTAATGTGGTTAATATATATAACATTGATATCCGTAAAATAATTTTGGGATTAGTAGAGCCTTGTATGATTATAAGATTATGAACAAAATTTGATCGCTAATGACTTCCTAATTTAGTGAGGCTGAGCGAGAAAAACGGTGACGAGGGTAGAGGGCAGCTCGAGGTGTTTAGGCCAGATCAGCAAAAATGGATGCCAGCCTGTGTAGCCCATTGGGACCAGACAACATCACCAGATGCCATTTGCTCTCTCCTAGGCTACTCGTAAGTAGCTTCAAAATATCGGATAAACCATAATTTTAAGGAGTTACTACTTGTTTTGTGTAGCAACTCGAATGGCAGTCGTCTTCTTCAAGGCGTCAGCGTAGACAGTTCACCAGCTATCCATGGGACTACCACAATATGGAGATTACACCAGAACAAGAAACCCAAGAACATGTTAAAGGAATTCTCTTCTTGCCGCGGAAAGTCCTACCCAACAGTGGATATCAATTGCACCAACTACAGTAAGTTAATTCTTAAGTTTTTTTTTTTTTAACTTTAGTTGGTGTCTTTTCAGTATGCGGAAAAAGTAGGAAATCCTACGCGGAGAGAAGGAGTAAGCGGATTGTGGGTGGTATCCGCTCGAAACCGGGAGACTGGCCCTTCCTAGCCGCCCTTCTCGGTGGTCCCGAGGAAATCTTCTATTGTGCGGGTGTTCTTATCGCTGACCAGTGGGTTCTGACAGCTTCGCACTGCGTCGGCAAGTAAGTCGAATCAATCAACCGCTAATCCCGGATATTATCTATCGAAAAAAAAAAAGACAGGAGAAAATAAAGGAAGCAATAAAATCCTGTCCTTCCTTGTCATTTCAGTTACACTGATGTGAACGGATGGACAATCCAATTGGGCATCACCCGCAGACACGCTCACTCCTACTACGGACAGAAGATGAAAGTCAAACGCGTTGTACCTCATCCAAGATACAATCTCGGCATTGCCCATGACAACGACGTCGCACTTTTCCAAGTAATTCAAAACTATCAAACACATTAATTTTCCATTTTGTTTCTGTTTTTTTGTCTCTCTCTATGTTAAAGCTTTCAACTCGTGTTACTTTCCACGAACATTTATTGCCGGTTTGTTTACCGCCGGCGGACAGGGAGCTCCAACCTGGCACCGTTTGTACAGTAATTGGCTGGGGTAAAAAGGAGGACACCGGAAGTGAGTGTCCGCTCTCTATATCTTTGCCGCTCCATCGACGACCCTTGTTACGTAATAATATAATGTGCGCTCTGTTTACGCAGTGTCTGAATACGAGCCCGAAGTCAACGAGGTTGAGGTACCAGTATTGAATCGAGACTTATGCAACGCTTGGCTGGAGAACAGAGATCTCAACGTCACGGAAGGCATGATCTGTGCCGGCTACAAAGAAGGCGGCAAGGACGCGTGTCAGGTAAATAATATATAAGTACTATCCAGGATGATAAACATATTTATTGTGACAGCTTAACTTTGAAGTTGTTCAACTTTCAAACTAAATAAATTTAATTAGTTCAGACACCAAACTGCATCCAATATGAAAGATTTAAACAAAATAAAATAATTTAACATGGTCCAAACTGGAAATGTTTTGCAAATAATTAAAAAGATTTCATTTTACAATTATAGAGAAATAAGTGTAATTTATCACATTATTATTATTATTAACTTAATTATTAATTAACTGAATATAATAAATTATGGTTTTGAGGAGTTTTTTTTTTCAGAAAGGTTACAGCATTTTGAATTTCTTGTGAAGAAGTTGGTAATTTTGTAGATGATTTGACTATGTATTTTTTGCGTGTACTTTTTCAGGGAGATTCAGGTGGTCCTTTGTTATGTCGAGACAAGTATGACAAAGATCGTTGGTTTGTGGGAGGCATCGTCAGCTGGGGTATAAAGTGCGCCCATCCCCATTTGCCAGGTGTCTACGCTTACGTCCCCAAGTACATCCCCTGGATTCTACAGCAGATGAGTATATTTTCTGAATAAGACAATAAGAGAAGACAAATATAACTATAAAAGCAACACGATTACAAATGAAAGGTACAAATTATACATGGTACAATTTAATAGCATGTAGGTAGGATGACGATGTCTGCTGTACTTGCATGGAGATGAATTGAAGGTTTTTATTTAGAGAGATTTACTGTAATCCCTCCCATACATAATCCGGCTACGCACAAATTCTAAAATAACATAATATTTAAATACTAAAGAAAAAAAAAATGAGAAATCGATAAGTAATGAAATCCAATAGTGATAATTGATGACAATTCACCTAGTGTTCGAGCGGACCGCCAATACATGTGATCTGTTTATATACAGCTGTGTCATTTACTTATATTATTATATAATATATTTACACGGGGCGCCTGAAAATCTCTGCGGATGTATATACAAACATGAATATATAGAAAACCCATTTATGTAATACCTGACAATAAGAAAAGCCGCGGGAATTTTCAGGCGCCGAAACCGAGGTCGATGAAAAAGAAGATGAAGAAGAAAAAGAGAGAAACAAAAAATATATAAGAAGTATATACATATATACATACACATATATAAAAGCAAGAAAGAATGAAACGAGAGATGAAAAAAAAAAAGTGGACAAAAAAAAATACAAATAAAACGCTTAATGATATATTTTATACCCTTAGAGAAGAGAAATCCTAGTTTTCTATAGATTTATATATAAAAGAAAAATGAAGAAGATGTTATCTAGTATTAAAGGAACTAATTAAGGTAAGCGTGCGCACCCACCGACACCCTACTCCCTTCAAAACGAGAGTCATCCCTTAATGCCGCCCCCAAAGCATATCGATTCTACACATATCTCTTCCTCAAATTCCCTATAAAACCCCAGTTACCCCATCATCCGGCATACCGAAGATAATCAAAGCAAAACACTTGTCAATTAGATACCTTATATAATTTAAACTTTCGAACCATATTGCGGTGGGATTCTTTGATGTTGCGCATCTATCAATCAATGGGTGTGATGATTGTTTTCGATGTTACTATATACATATATAAATAAAATATTAGTATTTGTATATACAGGATCGGTCAAATCTGCGGAACAACAGTTTTCCTTTTGATGTAAATGTTTAAAGTGTTTATTAATTCACTTGATTATAAACATTTATAGTAAAATTTGCAAGAACAATAATATTTAATAAATAATTAAAAATTAATAATAAAAAATATATATAGAATACATATTTTCTACTAACGAAAATATGATATGAGAAATATTTAAATTTGTTGTGAAAGAGAAATAAAGTATTTATAAATTGCGAAATTTATTTGGGAAGACAATAAAAAACCATGATTTTAATATCTTGGAATAAATGTAGTTATAAACATATTTACTATTATATAGACAATATATGAAATAAATGTACTGAAATGAAATGAAATATATGTAGATAAAAGTTAATATTTACAGGTATATTATAATAGTACCGCACGTTCGTCCGGTCTTGTTTATATAGATATACATAGATATCTATACACAAATATAATTATATATTATAATATTATTATTGCCTGTTGGTAAATAAAGTAAATAAATCTATATTATATATTTACGAGGTGTCCGCAAATCGAACGAAGGTCTCTGACATGTTGTAGATAATCGCTTCAAGCTAGATGTTCAAGGTCATCCGATGTATTAGCAAAATTATCGCACGAATGGGCAACGTGCATTAGCTTGTACCGACCGTATCCGTGTATTTTTAAATGTGCATAACCTGTAGTATCGTTCTGTGGACACCCTGTATACCGATTCTGGGAGCCGAGAAAGTAGCGCTTAACTGTTTGTTGGTAAAGATTGAATCTATATATGTAAATAATATTGAATATTTCTTGGCTCACGTGAAAATTTGATGGATGAAATTATACAGAGAAATGAAAGCAAACGAGACAAATAATTTTGAACAAAGAGAGAGTATTATATATATTATAAAAAGAAAAAGATGATGAATAAAAAATATATAATCGAAGGTTATATTTAACCGGAGGAGATACTATTTCTTAAGCAAGTGATATATACAAATGTGACAATACTATTATAAATTAGACACTAAAGAAATGAATAAAGAGAGAAAAAAAAATTATATAAACAAATTTTTACAAGGTTTCATGTGAGCTTTGTTGACATCTATACAATATTGAAGAGTTGACAGTTTATTTAAGAAAAACGAAATATGAAAATGTGAAAAAGAAGAAAACTATTTTGTTAGAATAAAGTATGTATTATTGTTTAGATATTAGTAAGTGACAAAAGAAAAACTATATAAGAAATATTGTGCAGAAAGAAAAAAAAAACTATGTAACTTTAAAAAAAAAAGAGAATTGTTCGTATGTGTTCCTTGAGCTTTTGCTAACAAAACCATTTTTAGACAATATTAAAAATTGGTCAATGAAGCATAAACTGTGCTTTCTATTAGTGCAAATACTTGTGTTACAATGAAATATATGCTAGACAATAAATATATTGAAACAGAAATAAATGAAGAAACGAAGCGTAGTTCAATCAATATTTGCCCTCACACTCTCCCATTCTGACAGCACATTTTGCTTTATTTAGGTCAATTCACATCAGACTACGATCAAAAATGTAGGTATATATAACATGTTATTTGATTGACAGGTAAGTTTGCTTGAACTGTTAATGTTACATAATTAGACTTCATTAGACTTACATATATAGACAATAATAGTCAACAGTTCAACCTTAATTAAATTATATGCATTATTTAAAACTCATTAAGGATTAAATATTGATTTTTTTTATATTTTAATGTATTTAAGTATAGTATAGTTTTTATGTTTCTAGAAAAAATATACACATTATGAAAATATTGTATAACAAAAAGTTATTTCGAATCTCTGATATTTTTTTATTAATGTTATGAAGCAACTTAGTAAATTTCTAATAAATTCTTAATTAATATAGAATAATCAAAAAAGTAATAAAATTAAATGTATATTTTATAATCTGAAATAATGAATAAAGTTGAGTAAGTCTTCAAAGCTATTAAGAAGATTTTATTACAAATTATACGTGCATCAGTTAACGCTTTATCGGACGTGTTCTGCATTTCACTCAATATTCGGCATGAAATATCCTGCCAATTAGTTCGGATTAACGAAGACCCAATATATAATGTTGATATATTAATTAGGGCAGCTATTATAAATCTGTATATATGTACATATATAACTCACCTCGCATTGGAATTTCAATATACAATTTTAGAGGAAACTAGTAAATAGTTATATAATTACATTATATTCAGCAATACCTTGCATAGTACTGCTTCGATCAGTGCGGATACACAAAATTTTTACAATTAAGTCTCTATTTGTGCGGTTTATTTTTATGCAGTTTTATAATTTGGATTAAAAAAATAAACAATTTTTACTAATAACATCTTCACAGTGATAAAGTTGTTTTGTTTTAATTTGGATTTTGATAGATACTTGTCAAAAAGCACATTTTCCTCCAATTGGACCGGTCCAATTAAGGTAATTTTTAACGGTCCAAATTAGGAAACTTTTTTTGATCTGCAAATTACTGGAAACGAATACTTCCGGTTTTATTTTATTTTAAACAAGTTTACAGAGCAGGATATGAATTTGTTAGATCTAATAAGATTTATTGGAAGTGTCATCTGATACGGCGCTTTTACAGTCTGTTATATTTCCACTTCGATTTTTCCTCTGATGCAGCTGACGGGAAGAGCTGGAAAAATATCTGTGCTCTGTGAGGATTTTAACTCAATGCTACTACTACTTTTCTCACACAAGGGGGATTCGTGTTTGTGGCTGTTTGAGTTCCTTTATCGCCTTCCCTTGCGAGTAATCCGTTGCTCCGTTTGATGATAATATCACCATATTTATAGAAAAAAAGATATGATTTTAAGAAAAAATAATTATAAACCGTTACGTGAAATTTCCTATTCAAAATTAAATATACTCTTTTTTAAGTAATTTCGTCTTCATTTTCTTTATCTTCAAAGTTTTCTAAATCTTCCACTGAAAAACCATCACCAATAATTTCCTAACATCGACATCTTTGAATCCTATTGATTGAGACACCTGGATAACTTCATTTCAAATTTCTTCGTTGTTATTTTTTTCTTCTACTACAACTTCTGGCGCATATTTATGTTATATCTAATGATTGTTGATTTTAAACGGACTTTGGGATGTTTGTAAAACTTGCACGGCTTTTGTACACCGAAACATTGCTGATATTACATAACACGGTGTATTGATTTTTCTTCGACTACAAAAAAAAAGCGGTAGTGACCTAAAGCGACAGATGGTACATTTATGCAACAGTAACAGGTGAGTACAAGTACGAAGAGGTTATGAATAAGCCGTTTCTATAAACTTTGATTTATATTATAAAAAGTACTAGATTGTTGCATAATAAAGTACGGGCTTTTTTTTTAAATTAATTTCTCGAAATTTTCTTGCATTTTTGTTGTTTCGTAGGAAGGGACGTATTATGCAAGAAAAGTTACATAATCTTCATTTTTATTTGAAACTAATAAACAATTTAATACAAAGCTTAATACAAATACAAAAAATATTAGTGACTTTTTATGAATGTTAACAAAAATCCTAACTTATATAAATTCATTAAATTGTAAATATAGCAATTAGTTATAATAACGTATATTATGAAATCATGTGTAGATTAAAAACGGGATGAACGTTAACAGAGCGCCGCGTGTTCTAACTATAACCATATGCTCTCACAATTCATTAGTAGGTGAAACACTGTTTTCCCCCAAAACTCATACATTTTAGTATTGAAAAAGTTAATGCGGACATATACAAGCAAACACATGAAGTTTCTATATCAAGTTTCCAGTTAATCCATTAATATTCTCGAGATTTAATATTTCAAACATAGTTTCAGAATTATCGCAATCCTGCAAATTGATCCTACACATACATTTATACAAATAGCTCTCAGTTAACGAAGCATTTTTTAGGACATATATGATTTAGTAAATTAGTAGATCATATGATTTATAATAATTAAGTTTAATATCATAAGAAATAAAAAGAAATACTTCTTGATAATTCCAATTTAGAAAAAATATACTCATATATTCAAAAAAATATGGATTTTGGCATGTATATAATAAAATATTATTATGGTTCTATAACACAATTACCAATTAAAACCATGATTTAAAACTTGAATTTCTTCTTCTTCTTCACTCCCTTTACTTAGCTTGTGTCAAGCACAATTTCGCCAGCTTCCGTCAAAATTTGAATTTAAATTTTGCAATAACAACTTGCATGATCGTTTAAGTGCTGCCATCTATATGAGTAGTACAGAACTTACTCATTTATTGAAGTGTTGTATAGGCAAGCAACTGAACAACTTAACTTCTATAATTAAATATGTATATGCGATTTAATGCCTTTTAATTCTTTGTAGTCTATTAAATCCGGTGGCAATCGCAAGCCCGACAACCGAAATCCCGTCTATCAAAATCCCGACGTTTGAAATC